GAGAAGTGCTCACTAACACAGATTTAGACAGATTTGTGAACAATATTTGAGAGAAATAGGCCTTTTGTGTACATAGAAAAAGTCTTAGATCTTTGAGTTCAGCTCATGAAAAATGGGGGCAAAAACAAAAGTGTTGCGTTTATAATTTTGTTCAGTATAGATAGATAGATAGATAGGTCCAATACATGCCATAACTCTAGAGAACAGACTAAAACAAGTGAAAGAAACCAAAAAAATAATACAATAATCCTATTGTCTCCTAGACGGCCACTGGGACAAGACCACAGGAATCAGTTGAGTCCTCTGCACAATGTGACTTTGCTGCAGCCTGGAATTGAACTGCTGGTTTCGTCTGATCAGAGGAGAACTGGCCCCCCGACTGAGCCTGGTTTCTCCCAAGGTTTTTTTCTCCATTCTGTCACTGATGGAGTTTTGGTTCCTCTGGCTTGCTTAGTTGGGGACACTTAATATCCAGCGATATCATCGACGTGATTGCACAGATACTATTTAAACTGAACTGAGCTGGATGATGACATCACTGAATTCAATGATGAACTGCCTTTAACTGAAAATTGAATGTTTACTATTGTCATTTTGCATTATTGACACTATTTTCCTAATTAATGCTGCACAGTTGCTTTGACACAATCTGTATTGTTAAAAGCGCTATATAAATAAAGGTGTCTTGACTACTTGATGGATTCTGATGGACAACCATTTGCAGAGTTGTCAGCATCGCTCTGCTCAAAGTATGACAATTACACCAAGCAGCAAGCTGTCAGAATGTAGACTCAATAGGCAAGTTATGACAATAAATAAACCCTAGTAACTGTTTCATCTTCTCTGTCTGTCTCTGTCACTCACTCACTCACTCTCAGGATATGCCCCTGTCACCGGGATGTGCCACCCTGTCCGCAGCTGTACCCTCAATCATGAAGATGGCTTCTCTTCTGCCTTTGTTGTAGCCCATGAGACAGGACATGTGTAGGTTTTTAAACGCGAACAGGTGCTTTTCAGCCATTTCAGAATGATGTTAGCTTTTGTCAAGTGTTTTTTGTCACTCCAGTTGATGTTTTATTTGTGATTTCTCATTTTAATTCAAAAAAAGATTTGATACTGATTTAAAGCATATACATGTTTTCAGATGAAATCCTATAGCTAATGTACTTTATGCTCTCAAGGTTAGGGCTCTATTCAGGGTAACACTTCGGACTCAAAAATGTCAATGTCTCATACAAGTGAACTTGCTTATGTCAGGATATTTGATAGAAAATACTTTGTCCTTATCATCTTCCTTGATTTAAAGTCAGTCTCTCACGTTGTTCAAAACATCTCTCGTGTTAATTTTTGAGCTCATGCTTAAGAGTCCTTGGCCACTGTCTTGCCAGATCCCTTTTGTGGGTTTCAATTCCTCCTTTGACAACAGTTGCTTAAAGTCTGTAGGCATCTAACATTCAAAAGGGTTTCAGAAAAACTCACCACCTACACAGAGATTAGTCATGGAGTCAACCTCCTTATCTTCTTCTCCATTTTGAAACTATTGTCCAGGATTTACCCTATCAAACGTCTCAGTCTCTATCTGTTTATCTCTTTCTTTCAAATGCTTTTATCCAGTTTTCATTGAGCACATGACAAAGGCTGGTAAACTATCATTACTCTGCTGCATCTCACCACCTTCCTATTGATAGTCTTTGATTCAGTTTGGCATTATCACAGACTGAATAACATTTTATTTAATTCGAAGCGAGATGTCAGGGCCTCTGAGATTGGCATTTTCTGGCTGGCAGCCACATAAAATTGATTCCCTCTTAAGCCTCTGTCCTTCCTGTTTTCATACCAGTCCCCATGCAAACTTCTCCATCTGTTTGACATTTGTGATTTAAAAATATATTTTCTCATTAAATAAGCAATACTTCATTGTCAGATATGCAAAAAGTGTAGAAACCTACAGACTGAAATACATTACCGTTCAAAAGTTTGAGGTCAGTAAGATTTGAAAGACATGAATACTTTTAGGAAGTATGCATTAAATTGATCAACAGTGACAGTAAAGGTATATATAATATTCTACAATATATCTGTTTAAAAAATGCTGTTCTTTTGAACTTTCTAAAGAAGTTATCATGGTTTCCACAGACAGTATTAAGCAGCACAACTGTGTTCAACATTGATAATAGTAAGAAATGTTTCTTGAGCACTTAATCAGCATATTACAATAATTTTTGAAGGATTGTGTGACACTGAAGACTGGAGGAATGGCTGCTAAAAAATTCTGCTATTGAAGTATAAAACAAAAAAAAAAAATATATATATATATATAT